ACAGCACCCAGGTCTAGAGTTCAAGCCCCATGACCTACCAAAAATAAAAATAAAAAATAAAAAGATGACAGGTGATTTTATCCTCTGGGCTCTGTTTAAGACTTCTAAATTGCCTTTGTAAATAAGTGTCATGTGCACACAAGAGAAATGGCCCTACACTCTACTTGAGGTGTCTAGTTAGGGAACCAGAGACCTCATTGTAACCAACACATTCACCCACTACTACTTCTTCCCCAGACTTCTCTGTCCTCCTTTTTCCACACAAATCCACTCCCAAGCCAAAATAACCAGCCACAGAATTCACCATCATCCATGAGATTGCTTCTATTCCAAATACAGGTGATTCCTTGTTTCCACAGGAAGCAGATAGGCCCACTTCCAGACTACAGTAATGTGTTTAGAAAGTTTCCTTTCATGGTAGTCTTTTTTTTTTTCTGTGCCAGTATTTGGACTTAAACTCAGAGGCTGAGCACTGTCCCTTAGCTTCCCCAACCCCTCAAGGCTGGTGCTCTTCCACTTGAACCACACCTCCACTTCCAGCTCTTTAGGTGGTTAGTTAATAAGCACTTAGAGATTAAGATTTTAAAAAAGACTCAAGGATTTTCCTACACCAGCTGGCTTTGAAACATGATTCTCAAATCTCAGCCTCTATAGCTAGAATTACTGTAAATCTGGCTTTCAAATGCTTTGACAATATTGGCTTTCTAAGTTTTAATAGTTCTTTTCTTCTGTAAACAGAACAAAACAAAATCCATCTTGGGTGTATTACAGTTGTATACAGTTACATTTCTCTGCTTCATGGTGAAACCAAACTACTCTGCTATTTTGATCAGCCATTTCTGTTTCTTGGATGTGTATGCATATTCATTGCTCAAAATGTATAGAAGAGGCAGGTGGCAGTAACTCATACCTGTAATTCTAGCTACTCAGGAGGCTGACATCTGAAGGTTGCAGTTCAAAGCCAGTCAGCAGAAAAGTTTGTGAGACTCTTATCTCTAACTACCAAAAAGCTGGAAATGGAGCTGTGGTTCAATTAGTAGAACAGTAGTCAAGCAAAAATGCTCAGGGACAGTGTCCAGGCCCTGAGTTCCAGCCCTAGGACAACAAAATAATAAATAAGCTAATTAGTTAATTAATTAATGGAAGGGCTAGGGCGTTGCCTGGCACACACAACTTCAGCACTACAATAATAATTAATAATTAATAACAATAATAATCATAAAATATGTAGATTTTTTTCCTTGGTTGAAATCATTTCTATTTTAGGAGTATATTAGCTTTTAGCTGTGTGCTAGTGGCTCACATCTATAATCCTAGCTAAGATCTGAGTATAGTGATTCAAAGCCAGCCTGAGCTGGCTATAAGACTGTAAGACTATAAGACTCTTGTATCCAACTAACCAGCAAAAATCTGGAAGTGAAGGTGTGGTGCAAGTGGTAGAGTACCAGCTTTGAGCAAAAATGCCAACCAAGGGAAGAAGGCCCTGAGCTTCAATCCTGGTACTAGCACCACATTTAAAAAGAGAAGAGAAGAAGCATGTATGTCCTGTATTTGTAACAAATGTCTCTCTCAATGTATCTGCTGTTAAACTTTTCTTGTTGTGAATATACTTGAAGTCACACATTTACCCAGGAGCACATCCTTCCATTCCCCCACCCATTCTCTGTCATCCTAAATTCAATGCTCATTTCCCAGTGATAAGAGTTTTAGTGCCAACAGTGAGCCAGAAAAAAAAAATCCATTGAGAACTACTGCTATGATTCGGTGTGGAAGTAAGCTGCTTTGTGGGCATTTCTAAGAAAGAAGGAGTGCAAATTCTCCCATTCCTTCTCAGGTCTAGTGACCTAGGCAGTTTTCATTCACAAGCACAATGGCTAACCTGCTTCCTCCAGCAAGCCACACCCCCTGGGGGAGGACCGCCCAAAAGTGTGGATTCCTCGTTCCACTTTGCCTTACCCACTTGCTAGACCGTCTCCCCTCCTTTGTTCAGGTGCCTATTTTTCTGTTACTAGCTCATCTCTCACTCTAATAGCACAAAGCTAAACCCCACTCCCCCTCTACTTACTTGTTCTATACATACTATTCCTTGCTGTGTGTAGGACCTGTGCCAGCCATGTTTCTATAGTCACGTAGTTGTAACCAAATCCTTGTGTGCATCTCCAAGCCATCCTGACACACGATGATGGCTTGATGATAGTGGCTAGACAAGAAGAGATTTTTTTTTTCCTTCTCAATATTTGGGCTCACCTGGTACTGTTGCCACACGCCTGTAATCCTAGCTATTCAGGAGGCTGGATTGTGATTAAGTCAGCCCAGGCAGGAAAGTCTATGAGACTCTGATCTCCAATTAACCACCAGTAAAAGCAGGAAGTGGATATGTGGTTCAAGTGCCAGCCTTGAGCATAAAAGCTAAGGGACAACACCCAGGCCCTGGGTTCAAGTCTCAGTACCAGTACAAAAACAAAAAACAAAATGAAAGAACAAGTCACAAGACCCTGTAGGTTTTCACTCAGGTAATGGGCTCCAGCCTGCTTCCTATCTGAAATATTGCTTCACCTCTAATAATGATTTAATGAACGGCCCAGATTACTGAATGTTTCCCTTTTTACAAAAATCGTATTGTTATTATAAATGTCAGGGAACCAAATGCTTTCTTAATGGGTTGAGCATATTTACAAACCATAGGATGTGTATTTGGTTTAACACGTACCACAGTGGACTTCTTTTTCCCCATTCTCTAGCATCATCCCTGCATGACAGCTTCATTAATACTCATCAAATGCAACAGTGCATTCGATCACTCATTCAAAGATTTTTGTTAGGTAGCCTATAGTTTATCCTGTGTACTTTGTGAAGGATAAAGGTGTGAGTAAAGTAGAATTTGCAACCAGCCCACCCACAAGCCAAGACAAAATTGTCTTCATGAATACGGGTGAACGGAATTTTGAGGGCGGGGTTGTGCTAAAGCTCTTGAGTTGGAACAATTAGCTTGGGTTATTGGGGCCAAGAGTGCCCCTCACAAGGTGTCCCCAGGGGTTGGCAGAGGGACAGTCAGGCAACAGTTTAGAACCCATGACAGGACAGCTCCCTCTACTGGCAGAAGGAGGGACCGGGTCTCACCCCAACCCTACAGAAGAATTCAGTCCTACTATCTAGTAGATGTGTTTGGGCACTTCTAACTAGAAGATGAAAGTTTGTTGTGTTAAGCCACTTAACTTGTAACAATTTGTAAAGCTGCAATAGGAGATTATAGGAATATATAGAAATAGGAACAGACACATTCTTAGAGTGCTTCGGCCATGGTTGATTGGTCTCAGTACTATACAGCAATGTGCTTGATTTAAACTCAGACCTTTGGATACCCTGCCCAGTGCCATTGCCCTCTCCATCAGTTATATCAATAGCCAGATAAAACTAGATCTTCCTCTTTCTTTTATCTTTCTCCGGAAATAGGAAAAAGGAAAGATCTAGACAGACAGACAGACAGACAGAGTGAGTGAGTGAGTGAGTACTGGATATCTCTAAGATATATATCTTATTTATTTCTCTTTCTATGTATACATCTTTCTCTACATATATTATTTTCTTTTTTTGGGGGGGGGGTCCGGTCCTGGGCCCTGAACTCTGGGCCTGGGCCCTGTCCCTCAGCTCTTCAGCTCAAGGCTAGCGCTCTACCACTTGAGCCACAGCGCCACTTCCAGCTTTTTTCTTTTTTCTTATGTGGTGCTGAGGAATCGAACCCAGGGCCTCAGGCATGCAAGGCAAGCACTCTACCACTGAGCCACCTTCCCAGCCCTACATATATTATTTTCTATTCTCTCTCTATATAAATATCTTTCTTCTCTCTCTCCATCTTTCTTTCTATTATAGAAACACTAGAGCTTCCATCACTTCAAACAATGATAGGAACGTTGAAATCAATATAATAGGCTTCTTTGAGGATGGGGCACCTGAGATGCGCTATGAGAAAGAAAAGATGGAGCCAGCCGGTGGAGGCCTTACATGGAATCAGAGCAAGCACAGGCCAGCTCCTACAGGGTGGCTTTTCATCATCCTACAGTTGATACAATACTGTGGATATTCTTAAACCATCAGGAAGTTTGAAAGCAAAGGGTGACAGAGGCTTCTTTGTATTTTACCCATTTGGGCTCTTGGGTAAACCATGCTTTCCTGTGGGAGATAGAGGGGCAGTGATGATGTCAGACTTTTCCATAGTAAGATGAGAGTTTGGGTGACTTAAAATTGTCCAGTATCAATAAACTGTGCAGCAGTTTTTGGCTCAGAAACTGTGCATGGAACATAATGTCAATAGGAGTTGCTGGGTGCCAGTGGCTCATGCCTGTCATCCTAGCTACTCAGGAGGCTGAGATCTGAGGATTACAGTTTGAAGCCAGCCTGGGCAGGAAAGTCCATGAGATATTTAAACTATTTTTTTAAAACTATTACACTGTTAAACTTTTTTTTTAAGTGAGAAGTGGTATTATGGCTCAAGTGGTAGAGTGGTAGCCTTGAACAAAAGAAGCTCAGGAGCAGAGTCTAGCCCCTGAGTTCAAGCGCTAAGACCAGCACAAAAAAAGGAAAACAAAAACTCGCTGAGATGGGTTTAAGGGAAAATAGAACAATCCAAGATGGAGCTAGAGACTCCAGCTTAAGCAGTTCAGTATTTGCAGTGGACTCTCCAATATAGGAAGATTGAATAAGCAAGGGAAGGGACATTGCACATGAGGTGCAGGATAATGTAAGCAGTTGGGGCTGAGCATCTGAGAATACTACGTGACGGCAATGCATAAGCACATGCTTTCATTAAATTCAAAGCAATCCGGATGCTGGTGGCTCGCAGCTATAATTCTAGCTTCTCAAGAGGCTGAGATTTGAAGCTTTCAGTTCAAAACCAGCCTGGGCAGGAAAGTCCATGAAACCCTTAGCTCTCATTAACAACAAAAAGCCAGAATTCAAGTGGTATCATGCCAGCCTTGAGCAAAAAAACCAAGAGAGATCTAAAGCAACTGAATTCAAGCCCCAGGACTGGCACAAAAAAAGAGTAATTATACACATATATACACACATATATGTATGTCCATACACATATGTACATGCATAGATACACATGTGCATCTATGCATGTACCATACATATGTGCATACACCTGTGTGTTATACATGTGTACCTACCTATACATATATATGTATGTGTGCATGTATGTAGGCACATATATAAATAATTTTGTGTATGCATATGTGTAGAAATATAAATAACTATATGTGTATATGCATACACAATATATATATATAAAATATATATATGTGTATGCATTTGATTTTCCTCCTACTCAATCTTAAGACAGGTAACTTGATGCTTTAATTTAAAATTCAAACATGCAGAACTTTAAAAGCTATGCACATTCATGTGTGCATAATTTTTATGCAAATTTGCAATTATGACCACTGAATTTCCAATGAATTTGTCATATATAAAAGATTTTAGAAATTATCTTCCTGTAATCAAAATCTAGTGATATACTTCATATTAAGCCTTTTTACTCTTTTCTTTCTTCCTTTCTCTTTCTTTCTTTCCTTCTTTTCTTCCTTCCTTCCTTCCTTCATTCCTTCCATCCTTTATTCTTGTGCCATTACTGGGTCTTGAACTCAGGGCCTGAGTGCTGCCCTGTCTCTAGCACTTGAGCCACAGCTCCACTTCCAGCTTTTTGCCAGTGTAATGTGGAAAAGAGTCAGCTGGACATTTCCTGCCTGGGCTGGCTTTGAACTGCAATCCTCAGATCTCAGCCTCCTGTATAGCTAGGATTACAGCTGTGAGTCACCTAGTGCCCCGCTTTGTTCTTTCTTAAAGTTTGGAAGAAACTTTAAAAAATATCTTTTAAGCTTTGGAAATGTATGCATGGGGTAAATTTCCTGTTCACTCTGTCTCCTCCCTGCTCCCTGCCTGCCCCTGACAGATGGTAAGAGAACAGTATCTGACAGCCACTGAGGGCACCCTCATAGAGAGGCCGGAGAACCAGTGCATCTACAACATCGGCATTTATGGCTGGAGAAAGCGCTTCCTCTACCTCTTCGTTCTTCTCTTAATCATCATCTTCATTGTGAATTTTGCCCTTACAATTTGGATCCTTAAAGTGATGTGGTTCTCTCCAGTAAGTATGATTTTTTTTTTCCTCCTCTTGGTCTGCTCTCAGTCACCACATCTGCATAACAGTAACACATTTCTTTTCTTTTCTTTTGGTGCCCCATCCGAGGGCTTGAACTCAGGACCTGGGTGTTGTCCCCATGCTGTGTTGTTCAAGACTAATGCTCTCCCACTTGAGCCACAGCTCCACTTCTCGCTTTCTTTTTTCTTTTTTTTGGTAATGGGAGAGAAGAGTCTCATAGACTATTCTGCCTGGGTTAACTTCAAACTGTGACCCTCAAATCTCAGCTTCCTGAATAGCTAGGATTACAGGCATGAGCCACTAGCACCTGGCTAGATGTTTATTTTAATGCACTAACTCCTTATCTTCCTGCCTCTGCTTCCTGAATGCTAGGATTAGAGGCATGTGCCACCACAGTTGGCCTACAATCAAGAATTTTGTGGGGTGAGGGAAGACAGGGGCTTGACCTCAGAGCCTGGGTGTTCTTTCTTAGCTTTTTCACTCAAGGCTGCCATTTGAGACACAGCCTCATTCCTGGCTTTTTTTCTGGGTAATTGGAGTCAAGGATCTCTCAAATTTATCTGCCAAGACTGGCTCTGAACCACCATTTCCAGATCTCAGACTCCTGAGTATCTAGGATTACAGGGGTGAGCCACCAGCACCGACAGAATGGGGGTTCTTCTAACATTCACCATTGAATAATCGTATGACAAGCAATACCATTTCTGGGTATTTATTCCAAAGAATGGAAATCTTTTTTTTTTTGCTGTTGTTATTTTTTATGTATGTCTAGGTCCCTTCTTGAAATACATGCATACCAAGGAATTACTGTAACCATAATGGAAATTTCTGCAGAGATTTGATTATGGAATGGTACAATTAAGTATTTCATTGGACATCTGCAGAGAATGATAACATTTTGATCATGGACCAAATAGCATGTAATTGTACACCTAGATTCTATATAACAGACAATCCTCCTCATGGTGAGGCATTGGGAAGGCTCTAGGGAAAACCCATACACTTCCAAATTAGCAGAGTCTAACATGACTTTCTCTGCTTTGAACCCCAGCAGTATAGAAATGACACACTAATTATTTAACTTCCTCTTCTTAATTTCATCATGCTTGAATATTTCCTTGTAGAAAATAATAAAGCTAACCATGAATATTATTCAACAAAATCAGAGGTGAGCCACAGATGCCAGGCGGGCCTTGCACATTATTTAATTTGTTTGTGGTTTTTGTTGTTTTTGTACCAGTACTGGGGCTTGAAGTCAGAGCCTGGATGCTGTCCTTTAGCTTCTTTGCTCAAGGCTGGCACTCCATACCACTTGTGCAAAGGAGTTGCCATTCGGCAAAGCAGTTTATGACGATAGTGCATCTTGATCAATGTTCCCTTTTCAACATTCTCATCCGTCTCACCCAACCCACCCCTTCCCTCCCTTTCCTTAATTTTTAGGTTATGTATTGAATGTTTGCCATTTCACAAAGCTTTTATGCATACAATGCATCTAGTTCTGCATCACCCCTTCCACATTTCACCCACCTTCCACCTATACCTTCCCTTAGTTTTCTCAATTCTGTGGTATAGATAATGAATTCTCGTCTGCATTCTTCCCTCTTCTCCCCTTCATCATTCTGCCCCTCTCCCCTTGGCCCTACCCTCTCTCTTGCAAGTACCATTTCCTGGTACTTATCTTGTTGGGCTTTGACTTAGTCTTTCTAAGGTGAGCTCATTCATAGTGACCACTTGCGCACCATCTGGTGTTTCTACTTATAGATTTATAGGCATATTCCAGCTACCACAAATGAGGGAAACCTCTGTTTCTTTGGGTCTGGCTTACTTCACTTAATATAATTTTTTCCAAGCCTTTCCATTTCCTTTTGAAGGGTAAAATATCACTCATCCTGAAGCATCTCTAATTTTTAATGAGAGAATTTTTTGGAAAACTTTACTGTTACTGATATTTGCTTACACATAAAGTTCTCTAGTACAGTTAATGGCTGTAACTTTAGCAAGTTAGGACTAATGGTTCTAAACTAACACTGTTGTCCTTGAAATTTTAATTTGAGGAACACTTTTATTTGGGAAAAATGAATAGAAAGAACAAAGCAGAATTATAGTAATATTACTGAATATTATAGTTAAGTGTGTAATTCTATTAAATACTTTGGTGGGGAGGAGAATCTTATTGTCATTTAATATAGTAATGAAATGAAATAGATATAGATACCATTGCCCTCTGAGAAGGTCAAAAACACCAGGTTCAGCTGGTGGCTCACTCCTGAAATCCTAGCTACTCAGGAGGATGAAATCTGAAGATCAAGATTTGAAGCCAGCCTAGGCAGCAAAGTCTGTGAGCCTTTTATCTTCAATTAACCACCAAAAAGCTGGAAGGGGCTCAAGTGGTAGAGCACAAGCCTTGAGCAAAAAAGCTAAAGAACAGTGCCCAGACTTGGACTTCAAGCCTCAGGACTGGCACCAAAAACAAAAACAAAAACTCCAAGCTAATTTATCCTCCAAAACAAGCTGAATTATTTCTGGTTTGGTTTTGGTTTGGTTTTTTCTGCACAAAGTAAGAGTTAAATATGTTCCACAGAGGACTGTCCCCTTAAGAATCTTGTTCTGATGAGAAAGTGGAGCTTTAGCAGACAGTGTCTGCAGACTTTTCCTTGGATAAATGTTTTGTCATTAAGTACTTGGTGATCATTCATGTGTAGCTGGAGAAAATGGTATGAGATGGCATCTCAATGACTTTTTCCCACCCTCTGATTAAATAATCTTTTGATGCGGATTTGAAAACCTCAACCAGAAAAAAGAAAAACAAAAAAAGAAAGAAAGAAAAGATATGCAAGTACTGCAGACTCTCTGACGGATGTACCCCAGTCATGGAAGGCCATTGCGGTATCTTCTTTATAGTGACACTTGCTAAAATCTCCCTTAATCCTTTATAAACTCTCAAATCTGGAGGAAAATAATGTTTAAACTCCGTATGAAAACTGGAATATAAAGCCAAATGTGTTGGGGGCACACTTGTAATCCTACCAGTGGGGAGAATAAGGGAGGATCATGAGGTCCAAGCCAGCCTGGGCTACTATGATGGGGGAGTCAGAAAAGCTGGGAGAGGGGAGGATAGAGGAAGGAAGGGAGGAGAGGGAAGGCAAGTTAGAGGGAAAGAGAAGAAAGGAGAAAGGAAGGAGAAAGAAGAAGGAAGGAAGGAAGGAAGGAAGGAAGGAAGGAAGGAAGGAAGGAAGGAAGGAAGAGAGGGAGGAAGGGAAAAGAAGTACAAATACAATATTGCATATTGACTTCATTATAATCTAGACCATTTATAAACACAATTTGATGATAATCCTTTAAATTGCCTTTATATTGCTAAACAGTCTTGCTTTTAAACATCTTGACTTTCTTTTTAAAACTCTGCCTAGTTTAGGTCAGTGGCAGGCAGAATTCTAAGCTCCACCCACTGGGGGTTGTATCTTAAAGCCTTGCTTTCTGACAACAGAAGCTGAAAGGGATAGGAAGTCCTCCTCCAATTAAGTTACAATTACATCATGAAGAAGTTTTGCATATGTAAATACAACCAACCAAGGGTTCCAGAAGATAACACTGGCTGACAATGGATTACATTCAAGGAAAGAAAGACCTTAAAATAGAGATACAGCTAAACTATGCTGAGAGAAGCCTTATTTACTGAAATAAGAAATGTGCCCTGTTTAAGTTGTTTTACTTTGCTCATTTGGTGCCCACTATAGAAAAAGAATTCAAGATTAGCACGTTTGCAAAGAAATGTTTAATTCTTCTTCTCATAGATACTGCCAACACAAACAACAACAATATTATTTTTTATAAAGAACAAATGGAGGGACAAAAGGTGAACAAATGCAGCAGTGGTACTCACTAGACACTATGTTGAAAACAAATTATCCAATTTGTGGGTGAGGATGGAGAGAAAAAGTGGGAGAGAGTGAGGGAAAGGGTGACCTTGTCCAAAAAGAAATGTACTCTTTATCTGACTTATGTAACTGTAATCCCTTTGTACATCACCTTTATAGTAACAATAAAAAAATAAAAAGAGTAAATACCCACAAGGAAATCTTTTTTTAAAAAAAAATTGTAAAAAATATCTAAATGAGTTTACCTAGAAATTTATATTTTTGATGATCTATTAGTAGGGAAATATTTGAAGTGTTAATCTTTAGATTGTTGGATGCTGATAGGTTTGAAATAATTAGGGAAAGAGCAAGAAACTGACAGTATTTTAGTCTGATATGATGGTGTGTATTTCAACCACTGGCTAGCTGGGTAAGACTCAAGGATTTATTATTATTATTATTATTATAATTATTACTAGTCCGGGGGCTTGAACTTAGGGCCCAGGTACTGTTCCTGAGATTCTTTTGCTCAAGGCTAGCACTCTACCACTTCAGCCACAGCACCACTTCCAGCTTTTTCTGTGTATGTGGTGCTTAGGCATGCAAAGCAAGCACTCTACCACTGAGCCACATTCCCAGCCCATCATGGAATCTTTAAGGTCACAGAGAAATGTGAGTTTCAGCTGATGTTCTAATTCAGGGTCATCTATAGTTTAAACTCTAGCCAAGAAACAGCAGCGTAACTCCTGTGCATGAGCTAATTTCTTCGGCTGTGCCAGTAGCAATGTTTTGGAAGTTGAGGCCATCTGAGCTGAGACATCTTGGCTCTGCCCAGAGAGAGGGAAAGGAAGAGAAAAGGAGTTTTGAAGAGCTCATACAGTTAGCAACTGCATCACACACATAGCAATGGCAGACTTACTAGCAGGTGGGTTGGACAGGATTACGCTATATAAGATTGGTTAATAAAAAGGAAGGGTGGCGTGTAAAGTGCTGGAATTATATTCCTCTATGTCAGTCCTGGCTGTGTGCTGAACATGAGACAATCAAACTTAGCACAATCCTTCCTATGAAAATACATGCTAGAATGTTGAGTATTATAAATCTCAGTTTTGTATGACAAAGTAGGACTTTTAATTCTCTTTTACTTAAAAAGTATCCTACATCTGTAATTATATGAAAAATAGAAATAGGCTGCCTAGCATATTTTTAGTGAATTCAACAGTAGCTTTTTGTGGGGAGGGGGGCGGTGTGGGGCAAAGGGCAGTGCTGGGACTTGAATTCAAGGTCTTAGGGGCTGGGAAGGTGGCTTAGTGGTAGAGTGCTTGCCTTGCATGCATGAAGCCCTGGGTTCGATTCCTCAGCACCACGTAAGCAGAAAAAGCCGGAAGTGGTACTGTGGCTTAAGTGGTAAAACGCTAGCCTTGAGCTGAAGAGCCGAGGGACAGCGCCTAGGCCCAGAGTTCAGGCCCCATGACCAGCAAACACACACACACACACACACACACAAACCCTCAAGGTCTTAGCCCTGTGCCATAGTTTTTTCCACACAAAGCTGGTACTCTACCACTTGAGCATCTTCTAGCTTTTTAGTGGTTAATTAGAGATAAGAGTCTCAGGGAATTTCCTGCCAGAACTGGTTTGAATCTTGATCCTCAGATCTCAGCCTCCTGAGTAGCTGGGATTACAGGTGTGAGCCACCAGCTCCTGGTTAATTTGCATATTTCAAGATACTTTTGTTCATCACCTGGTTAGCCTCCCTTCATCCTTAAGAGCAAACACCAGCTGAAGCCTCTGTGGCAGTGGTTATCTTCCATTGAAGACTGCTATTTGATTAGAAAAGACACATGATCGACACACCTACCTCACAAAGCAATAATGTAGGGAGGGAAGGTCACCGGATACAATCTGGCAGAAACTGAGAACCAGATTCTGATTTCTTCCTTGACTCCATTAGCAATGTTTTGCCATTGGTCTGATGAATGGATATGTACTGGAGGTGAGAACCAGCTAATCCCCCCTTCTCTGCCCCTCTCCTCCCCCTGCCCTCCCATTCTCTTCAACCAATGCCTGTGCCAAAACCCAGATTCTGTCAGCGTTCACATCTGACATGTGCACCTTATACTTCCACCTCTCCTTGCCATTTACTTCTCAAACACATAGAAGCTATGATTATAAGAAAAAAATATGACACCATGGCATCGTTAACCAGTATGTTGGCACCTTTTCCAAATTATTTATGTCTTTCTAAAAGGTATTACATTCTATCAGTGCTCACCTGTCTAAAACTCAAATTGAAATCTTTGATTTATATGTGACTCCAAATGGGATAGAAAATGAGGTCATAGACAATAGAATCATGAAGTGGCTTATTGCACTGTCTTTCAAAGAAGACAAAGTAATAATAATATTTTTTTTAAAAAGACTGAGTGTGGCTGGGGGGTAGGTGACTCATGCCTGTAGTACTATCTTTTTGAGAGGCTGAGGTCTGAGGAGCATGGTTCAAAGCCAACCAGGGTGAGAAAGCCCATGAGATTTTTTTCCCCCCTGGTCCTGGGGCTTGAACTCTTGGCGTGGGCACTGTTCTTGAGCTTCTTGGGCTCAGGGCTAGCACTCAATCCCTTGAGCCACAGCGCCACTTCTGGCTTTTTTGTGTGAGTCATTTATTGGAGATTAGAGTCTTATGGACTTTCTTGCCTGGGCTGGCTTTGAATTGGGATCCTCAGATCTCAACCTCCTGAGTAACTAGGATTACAGGCCTGAGCCACCGTTGGTTTCCAGGAGATTCTTATCTTCAATTAATTACCAAAAGGCCAGGAGGTGTGGCTCAAGTGGTAGAGTGTCAACTTGGATTGAAAAGCAAGTGAGAGCCCAAAGCCCTGAGTTCCAGTTCAAGTCTGGGGGGGGGGGGAGAGAGAGAAAGAGAGGGAGAGAGAGAAGGGGAGGAAGAAAGGAAGAAAGAAAAAAGAAAGAAAGAAAGAAAGGAAGGAAGGAAGAGGAGGAGGAGGGAGGGAAAGAGAAAGTAGGAAAGGGGAGGGGGAGGAAAGGGAGGGGAGGGAGAAGGTGGGAGATGGAATGGTAATCAGAGGGAGAGGAGAAGGGGAGAGGAGGGAAGAGATGAGGTGAGGTGTCTGTGAGTGTGTGTGTCTGTGTGTGTGTTTGTGTGTATGTGAGACAGAGAGAGAGAAAGGAATCAGAGAGGAAGAGAAGAGGGAGAGGAGAGGAGCTACTTCATGTTCATGTGTATTAGTAACATAGGTCCTATATAAATAGCACTATGATTTTAATTTTTCTCCCCACAATTGTGCTTTCAACTTCTCCTTTTATTAGAACTTTTCTCTGGGAGTGATTAAACCTCTCTGACAGGGCAATGCTGTGAGTCAGGTCAGCCACAAGTGTCCCTCCACCGCCCCGCCCCCCAGGAGGGGGAGGATAACCACCAGCTTCATCTAAACTCCTCCCATTCTGTTCTAGCCACCAGAGCTGAGAGCCTTTAGAACACAGTAGGACACTGTTCAAAAAGAAATGGACCTAATGCCTGTCTTCTGTACCTGTAACCTCTCCTGACATCACCTTTACAATAAATTTTTTTTAAATTAAATCACAGTCTGCCTGACACAGGTAAATATATACTCTCTCCTCTCCATCTCCAGAGATACAATGCTTTTAATGTCTTAAATTGATGGCATTGGGCTTTTTGTCTCACCAATCAGAATGAAGATAATATTTTATAGTTATACACCAACTTCATCTTTTTAAGTTTCATTCCTTTTTTTTTTCTTTTAAGAGTTATTTTAGTGAACGGAAAGAATGTTAGCTGAGGAATCAGCATGAGTCAGAATCTTGGCTTTAATTAGGATCATATTTAATCTGTTATGCTCAGATTCTACACACACGTGTGTGTTCGCACACAAATAGAAAAACATGAACTGCTTAAGGTTGCAATTGGCCCTCCTATCTGCAGGGATGTGTGTGTGTGTGTGTGTGTGTGTGCGCGCGCGCGCGCGCGCGCACATATGCATGCGCGCGCAATCAGAACATAAAAGATTAAACACTCGGGCTTGAAATCAAGGCCTCTTGCTCTTATTTTGCTTTTTTGCTCAAGATTGACAGTCTACCACTGGCACCATACCTGTTTCCAGCTTTTTGCTGGTTAATTTGAGATAAAAGTCTCCCAGATTTGCCACCCAGGCTGGTTTTGAATCTCAGTTCTCAGATCTCAGCCTCCTGAGTTGCTAGGATTACAGGCATCAGTCACCAGTTCCCAGCTTGTCTATTTGTGGAGCTCAGTGAGTGTGGCTGAGGAGGAGGAGGGCAGAGAAGCATAGTTTTTGAAGAAGGATGAAACCCAACATTAAGTGTTGCTGAGAATGAGAAAGGAATAAAGCTGAAAATGCCTGCAATATTTGACATAGGTCACTGGTAGCCTCCTGAGTTTTATCTGCTGTCTAGTCGCCCTTCTGGCTATCCAGTCCTGGAGATCTGTGCCTTGAACACAGCTTTCCATCCTCCTCAGATGCTTCTCATTTACAAGTCTCTGGTACAAATATACTATATCATGGACACAGTGAATTTAGAAGGTATACTGAAAATTTTAAAGAGATAATTATGGTCTTTTTTAGGGAGGTGACAAAACTATTCTATATCCTAATTGCATTTGTGGTTAAAAAAGTATACTTGTGTTAAAACTTACAGAATAGTGTATCTGACAGGAATCTACTTTAGTATATCTTTATATTAAAATGTCAGAATTAGGGCCTGTAACATGAGGCTCATGACTGTAATCCCGCTAGCTACTCAGGAGGTTAGGACCTGAAGGATTACAATTCAAGGCCAGCCAGAACCGAAAATTCAAGCTCCAAAATACCAGCAGAAAGGGACCAAGGGTGTGACTCGAGTGGCAGAGCACCAAGGCAGCAAGCTTGAGGCCCTTAGTCCAAATGTCCATACTTCACAAAGAAGTTTTTAAACATACTAATAGCAAGGTTCTGTTTTCATTGATGTGGTCCTGGGGCTTTGAATGTTTATTGCAAAGTGATTCAATGTTGTATTCCTAAATACTATTTGTAATTACAAGATTTTTTGAATTGAATATTGAATAAAAAATACCAAAGTTTCAAATAAAACATTTAAGAAAAATAAAAAAACATGGAAGTAAATCTATAGACAGATATGTGTGATTTAAGTTAATACTAAGAGAAATGAAAAAGAAAACAATAAATTTCACATTGTTTTATGTTTTTCCCAGACAGGAATGGGTCACTTGCATGTAAGAAGTGATGGACTTCGCTTAGAAGGAGAATCTGAATTTTTATTCCCACTGTATGCCAAAGAAATACACTCCAGAGTGGTAAGAAAACAATGAGAGATTTAAGTAATGTGTGCTTTATGAAAAACAAACTATGTTTAAGCATTGATGATTAGTATTATTCAGAGGAGATTTTTAGAGAACATATATGTCCAAATATTCCTTAAATAAAGTTTTGTTATTTGAGCTGGATCACAGTGGCTCACACCTATAACCCTGGCTTCTCAGGAGCCTGAAATATGAATACAAAGTCAGGAGACTCATCTCCAATTAACCAGTACAACACCAGAAGTGGAGGTGTGGCTCAAGTGGTAGAGCACCAGCATTAAATGAGATCTTAAGGCCCAGAGTTCAAGCCTCAATGCTAACAAAATATAGATAGATAGAGACAGACAGACAGACAGACAGACAGACAGATAATAAAAGTAAGTCAAGTTGTTCTTCATTTTTCTTCATGAAACATTAAAAGGTTTAGCCAAGGATAAAATAAAAACAAAAGCAATCTTTTGTCACATATACTATATTTCCTTATATAATACTATGAACTTCAAAGTCTACATAAACATTTTGCTAGATTATTGATAAGTGGTATTTACTTCCCCCCCCCCCAAAATAAAAGTTTAAAACCCTGAAATTCTAACTTACTGGTTATTTAAAGAATACACTCTTCATTTTCCTTTGGTATGTTAGTAAAGATTTCCATTTCCAAGTGAAGGCCTAAATTACAGAGACCATCAAATCCAGCTGGTTCGATATCTCTTGATGACAGGAGCTATGTAGTTGCCCTAGGAGAGTCAGAAAGACAACAAAAGACATACTCCTAAGAAACATGAGGTCCTGAAGCACAGTGCACCTGTGAATGAAGATGGCCCAAATCAAAACTCCCTGAAAGCTATTCAGTAGGAGGGAAGGCAGAGATGGAGAAAGGGAGAATACTGTCCTTGAGCATTTTTGCTCAAGGCTGGTGCTCTACCACTTGAACCACAAATGTCTGAGTACATTTTATCTAATTTGGGTAGAAGTGCTAATACCAGGTGCAATGAATTTCCACATGCACGTGGGAAATACCATGGTATAACCCCTTTGAACAATAAGCACACACACACACACACACACACACACACACACACAAATGACAGAAGGTAAAACAGGTCCTCTTCAGAATGTTGGTACTAGTGGAAAGGAGGAGGGTAAATGGAGAGGCTGAAGGAGGATAAATATAGTCAAAATACACGCACGCACACACTCCCACATACATACACACACACACACACACACACACACACACACACACGCGCTGACACCTAGGGCTTGAATTAATGGCCTGGGCCCTATCCCTGAGGCCTTTTGTTCAAGGCTAGTACTCTACCACTTGAGCCACAGCTCCACTTCTGGCCTTTGGGGGTGATTAATTGGAGGTAATGGTCTCACAGATGGGCTGGCTTTGAACCTTGGTCCTCAAATTTCAACCTCCTGAGTAGCTAGGATTATAGATGTGAGCCACCATGCAAGTGTAGTAAAGATACTTTTATGTACACGTGCAGAAATGGAACAGTGAAAGCATGTCGAGCTTGGTTGAGAAGGAGATGAGAAGGATTAAGGGGAGTGATGGAAGGGGTAATTATGATCAAGGGACATGTCAGAACCAAACCTTCCTGTCTATTAATAGATGCTAATTTTTAAAATGTGGGAAGCTGGGTGCTGGTGGCTCATGCTTGTGATCCTAGCTACTCAAGAAGCTGAGATCTGAGGATCATGGTTCAAAGCCAGCCCTACCAGGAAAGTCCATGAGACTCTACCTCTAATTAACCACCAAAAAAGCCAGAAGTGGAGCTGTGGCTCAAATGGTAGAGGGCTAGCATTGAGCACAAAAGCTCAAGGACACTACCTAAACCCTATATTCAAGCTCCAGGACTGGCATGCGCGTGCGTGTGCGCGCACACACACACACACACACACACACAAAGTGGGATAAAAAGCAAATACAATGTCTTGTTAACAAAATAAAACAACTCCCCCAAACTAAACACGGGAATATCCACCAAATTCAGTTACAATAGCAAGATGGTGCAGTAAGTCTTACAAATTAACACTGGCCACAAAGGGGAGAGCCTGGAGAGGACCACAATACAAGGAGATGAGGGCTTCTCTATCACATCTCTTCTATGGTTGTCTTGTTGGTAGTAGGCACCCACATATGTCTTGGAATATATGTAGAGTGAGATGTAGGAGTCTGGTTCTGTGAGCTCTGTTGGCCATGCTCTTAAATTCACTGGGATGGTGTGGAAAATAAGCACACACTTTTCTTGAAAAGAAACTCGGGCATGCACTCAGAATTCAAATACTAGAATTTATCCCTATTTCTCCCCTCCCTCACCACCCCTTCCCCCCAGCTCTGTTGGCTGGTCTGACTGGTAGAATGTCCCAATGTTTGAAATTGGGGTGACTAGATCATATGTAACATTCTGGAATTCATAATAACATTTAGTTAAGTTTTATCAACCTTTCACTTCTAATATTCTTTCTTTTTCTTTTTTTCTTTTCTTCCTTTTTTCTCTTTTCTTTCTTTCCTTCCTTCCTTCCTTCTTTCCTTCCTTTCTTTCTTTCTCTTTCTTTCTTTCTTTCCTTTCTTTCTTTCTTTCTTTCTTTCTTTCTTTCTTTCTTTCTTTCTTTCTTTCTCTCTCTTTCTTTCTTTCTTGGTGCTACTACTGGAGCTGGAACTTGGGGCATGGATTCTGTCCCTGAGCTTTTTTGCCCAAGATGAGCACTCTATTACTTGAGCCACAACACTTGTGGCATTTTGGTTCTTTAGAAATAAGAGTGCCACAGACTTTCCTATCAGGGCTGTCCTTGATCCTCAGTCCTCAGATTACCACTCTTGAGTAGCTAGGATTACAAGCATGAGCTATCAGCACTGGCTCCTCTTCACCATGATTTTAACAAGATAGGGAGTGAGATTATATGGAATTTGTCTGTGTCTTGCTTTTTTGAAATGGAGGGAAGCTTTTGCATTGCAAAAATAAGTAACGTGGTATTTCTTAAAATATGTCTTAATACAATGTCTCAATCATAATTACTTTTATTAGGTGAGAACAAGGAAAGGGGTAGCATTGTCCAAAAAGAAATGTAATCTTTACCTGACTTATGTAACTGTAACCCCTCTGTACATCACCTTTATTTTAATTATTTATTTAATTATAATTATAAAATAACAACATTTTTCATTACTTTGATTATAACAACAAGAGCATTTGAATTCCTTGGAAAAAGAAAAACCATTAGAATTTGGCTAGCTTCATTTACTAATTGTGTGAATATTTTCATAGGACTCATCTTTGCTTCTACAGTCAACTCAGAACGTCACAGTCAATGCACGCAACTCAGAAGGGCAGGTCACAGGCAGGTTAAAAGTGGGTAAGTCCAATTTACTTACAGCATTTGCAGGCACCAAATTCATGAATATTACTGCATATATAACTTTTTTCTCTCGAGAAACTGAATGCCTCTTTATGTGCGTGAATTGTTCAAATGTCTTGTTATATTGCCCACAGAGAATTGGTAGCCACATGGAAGGGGGGTACAAGAAATGTGGCCATCAAAAATTGGTTCCCCATGACACAGAGTGCAGATTCTGCTCAGCAGACTCTGGGGCCCCGCAGATGAAGAGGTGCTCAGGCAATGATGAATCCTTTATTTCACCCACAGGGTGAGAAATGAGCCTAACTACAGAGATAGTTAAATGGAAGATGTCTTCCTCACCATCTACTTTTATAGGTTCAGATTGGCCTGGGACCATCTGAAGGGGATTATGGGAAAATACAGGAAAGGGCACATTCTCAGAGGTACATAACAACAAGTCAGGATACAGGATACTGAGAATAACTAAGATAAGTACAAGGGGCATTTCTGATGTCCTTTGACAGGATTACTGCAAACAGCCAGACACTCATAATCCTGTGTCTTCACTTCAACATAGGATGAACCACCTTACAACCAGGGTTTTCCATGATATCACTGACACTCGACCCACACTAGTCAAATCTCCTGCAGTCAGTCACAGGCCCAGGTTCTAGTGTTCTCACAAAAGAGGATCATTTAGTTAGTGCAAGAAACAGAACACACAGGTGCACATGCACGCACACACACACACCCCTTATAGTGACCAAAGTGAAAGAACTGAAGTTGCTGGCCTCAAGAGGAGAGAGAGAAGCAGCTGAGAGTCAGACGCATATTCACTCTTTTATCCCTCTCTCCTCCCTGGCTCCCCTTTCCTCTCATCTCTCCTCTCCTGCTCTTTCCCCTCCCTCTCCTTTTTCTCATACGCCCCACCCTTCTCATTTCCAGTGTTGCTTGGCTCATCCTTTCCTCCTGGGTATTATAACTGCATTCCTTTCTGTCTCTATACAGCCTATGGGGTTCCCTAGGCTCTCTTCAGCTTATCTGTAATTCCTAACCTCTACTTGTCAATGATGCAGATTCTATGTTCTCCACAAAGCCTCTACTTAGCCCATCTTGGTTCAACCAACTGCCCTTGGGTCAATTGTGATTTCCAGCCAATTAGATAAGGGCCAAAAGATGAAAACCTTACAGGAGTTAAGTCTCATAGAAGTTTGCAGAGAGAGAAAGGACTCTTGAGAAATCGTATGCACTCCGCCCTCTGTATCTGTGGCTTCCTCATCCTGAGTTTCAACCAATCACAAATAAATATATGGGAGAAACAACTGGTGGCTCACTCCTGTCATCCTTGCTATTCATGAGGCTGAGATGTGAGGATCACTGTTCAATGCCAACCAGGGCGGGAAAGGTTGTGTGACTCATCTCCAATTCTAACTTCCATCAACAAAAATAGCCAGTTTGCATAAAACAGCTGGAAAACTCTTCACTCTCTTAAGCAGATGGTGAAAGCTGTTGTCTAGAGGGACTTGCTTGTGGTAATAGCAGGACTGGAGAGGCTGGCCCCTTAAGAGGAATGAATGCCTGGAGTAATCCACAGCTGGACATAAAAGCTAGGGGGTGAAAAACTAAACATGATGTTCTGCACCCCCCCAAGGCATAGTGGCATAGTGTCTGGTACAGAGTGCCACCCTCTGTTATATGCAGAATATATTAATGAGTTGGAACACAATGGGAGTGCATTTCTTAGGGGTAGGGGAAGGGCAAAAACCCAAGAATGACCTTCCAGTCATGTGTCTTTTTCCCCCCCATGAGCAGGAGAAGGAGTCATCTTCTGAGAATGGTAGCAAAGGGGAGAGTCATGGTGGGATGTCATCTTCCCAGGGAACATGGACCACCCCGGCCAGTCATTCATAGGAAAGTCTTTCACAAATCCCTCATTTTGTGGTCCACACATCCTCAGATGGATAATACCAAAAGAAGTAGGCCAAGTGCTGGTGGTCCATGCATATAATCCTAGCTTCTCAGGAGGTTGAGATCTGAGGCTCACAGTTCAAAGCCAGCATGGGCAGGAAAGTCCCTGAGTCTTATCTACAATGAGCCACCCATAAAAGCCAGAAGTAGTTTTGGCTCAAGTGGTAGAGTGTTAGCCTTGAGAAAGTAAGCTCAGGGACAGTGCCTAGGCCCTGAGTTCAAGCTCCAGGACCAACAGGAAGAAAGGGGTAAGGGGAGAGAGAGAATAAAGGAGAGGGGAAGAAGGAGAGGGAAAGAGGAAGGGGAGAGGAAGGAGGACAGGGAGAAAGGAAAGCAGGAAAGGAAGGAGGGAGGGAAGAAGGAGGGAAGGAAGAATGAAGGAAGGAAAGAAGGAAGGAAAGAAGGAATGAAGGAAGAGAGGGAGGGAGGGAGGGAGGGAGGGAGGAAAGAAATGCATAAACAAATTATATTATTTTCTTGAAGTTTTAAGTATAATTAAACATTACTATATTCAAGCATATTTTTGGCACAGATGTGCATATCTGTGGCCAGTTAATTTGAGTCATACATGTAGGCTCAAAACTTTCAAAGTTGAATCATAAAATCAGTAAAATTGCTGGTAATAAATCTTGTGTTTCCTTACTCTGTTCTAAAGGACACAGCTTTCAGAGCCTTAAGGTGAACACATTGGAATGACTTGTTTTAACTAATTCTTCAGGTCCCAAAATGGTAGACATCCAGAGTCAGCAGTTTGAAATCCTCTCTGCAGATGGCAAGCCACTATTTACTGCTGATGAAAAGGAGGTTGCAATTGGCACAGATAGACTTCGAGTCACCGGTAAGTTAGAGCCACCGTCATTACATATGAGCCGATTCCCTCTGAACACCTTCACACAGACTGGAAAGTGTTGTATGAATTTCTTAACTTTCTTTCCTGGCATTTACTTGAACATTCTTTTTATACTCTGCTAGAAGAATGTAATCCTCCTCATGAATCACAAATCTTTGTCCAAACCTTTCTTCTACCATATTGGTACCTTATATTTCTTTCCCACTGGTGTAGCTCAAAGCATGTCAATCATTCCTATACCAGCTCTACAAATCTAGCCCCTGTTTTTCAAGTTTCTTTTATTCTCATGATTATATCAAGTATTTGAATTCCTTATGATTCTATAACAAATAAACAACAGCTATCTTGTCTGTGTGCCAGTACTGAGGCTTGAACTTGGAGCTTTATGTTCTCAGATTTTTTTTTCTTAAGGCTGATGTGATACCACTTGAGCTACATCTCCATTTCTGTCTTTTTGCTATTTAATTGTAGATAAAAGTCTCATGGATTTGTCTGTCCAGGCTGGCTTTGAACTGTGATTCTCATATCTTAACCTCCTGATTAGCTAAGATTGTAGGCATGAGCCACCAGCCCTGGCAACAACAAAAAAACATTTATTGAATGAAAGATAAAGTTCTCATAGGATCCACTTTTAGGAAAAAAAAGAATAATTGTTTCATGAAGACTTTTCAGAACATATTCTAAATTCACTTGATGAACTTCTGCAGACTAGAACAATCAGCTATTAAATTGTTTCTGACATTTGTACTACCTTGAAAACCAGAAGCAATACTATTCTCTTACAACATTACCAGTGAAAACAAGATACCAGTGGGCCCGAGAAACTTACTCAACATTAATGTACAATTTTATGTAACATATATAATTCCTTTGAAAAAACTGCAAAATAAATGGAAATAACCTAGCACTGCAGCATATTTTAAGGCAGTAGTGTTCCCAGTTTGTTGATTGTTTTTGT